CACTTCACAGTCAGATCATTTCCTAAGGATCCTGCTCACGGTTCTTCTCCATCGTCGACATAGTCAGATCCACAAAGAGGCACCCTTAGAAGAACCCGGGACTTCATAAACAGCCGCTACAATATAGGGTTTAGGGTTTAGGCTTTAGGGTTTAGGGCTTAGGGTTTAGGCTTTAGGGTTTAGGGTTTAGGGGTTTCGGGGCTTAGGGTTTAGGGTTCAGGGTTTCGGGCTTAAGGTTTAGGGTTAGGGGCTCCAAGGCTTCAGACAACAACTCCCCCTACAGCACGATTTGACACACAGACTTGTCTGCACATAACCCATGCGTGCAGGGGACTCGATGTCGCTCCATCGTTGCAGCTGGGCAACTCAGCAGGAAGATTGACGTGAAACAAGTCCCTACGGGTTACCCATCGCTCTACACCTGAAACTATCGAGACCGAACAATAGTGTCCACAAATCCAAGATCTAACTACCAAGGTGCCGCGACTCCTGCTGGATCTTAGGAGTCGAGCCTGCACGACCGTGCTGTTCTTCAACTCAACAACCACGCTCTCGTTGCTCAGCTTCATCAGGAACCTAGCAAGGCACTGCATAAGATCATCCTAGCCACCACCCTAAACCCCAAGCATAAACAACCCTAAACGCTGAACCCTAACAACAACAAACGGGCAGTCCAGGGTCGAGGTTTTCTGGTTGAGGGAGCGAGGAGGTCTCATGTCACGAGCTGTGTTGGGTCAGAATAACTTTTGCTGTGGGGTTTAGGGGTTTCGGATTCAGTGATTCAGGGCTGGGCTTGGCGACCTCGCATCTGGAGAACGATGTCTCTCATCTATGACTTTGCAAGTTCATGCATCCTAAACCCTAAAGCCTAAACTTAGGGACTATAGGGTTTAGGGGTTTCGGGCTTAGGGCTGGGTACCCTAAACTTAGGGTTTAGGGTTTAGGGCAGATCGCTCTTTGGGTAGGTGTGTGGTGCCTGCTCCGGGAATCTGATCGTGATGGCTCTTTGAAGGTAAAGTATCAGCCAGGATGTAGGGATTAGGATGTTTAGGGCTTAGGGGTTTAGGGGTTTAGGGGTGTAGGGATTAGGATTTAGGGCTTAGGGGTTTAGGGCTTTGTGTGCCCACAGACCTTCCAATACCCCGTAGTTATAATTAAGGAATATATATATATATACATACACACACCTTAAAGCATATAGTAGGATCCCGGACATGGCTCAAGGTCTATTCCTTCATTTAAGAGATATGCGAAGGTCTGGGTTCATCATCCCGAGGTCGGGAGGTTAAACGCTAGGGAGTCCCGCACTACTCGTGTTTAAACGGTTTCGAGTTTCCGGGTTTAGGGGTTTACGGCGGGTTTGGGGTTTTGGGGTTTCGGGGTTTAGGTGTTTAGGGGCTTGGGTTCAGGGTTCCAATCCTTCTGGAGTTTCCTGCGTCGAAAGTCTTGATTGCTGGAACCGTGGGCCACGAGACCCGAAACCCTAAACCGCAGAAGCCAAAAGCAAGCAACCCCACCTCCCCCCCTCCCTCTAACCCCAAAGCCCTAAACCTTAAGCCACGGTATAGGGGTTAGGGTTTGGGCATCCGACAAGTCTAATCGAGGTGTCTCCGATATTTTAGACGTCCCTTTTCAGTTCCCCCCTCTCATGATTGACCAAAGGGGAACAGGGTTTAGGACTTAGTGGATCCCACTAGGTGTAGCTTCTTGAGGATTATATGGCTAGATTCGATATTGAGGTCTAGGTTTTGGGTGTAGTGGAGGACATTTCACATCTCCAAACTGAAACCAAAGCCTGATCTAGGGCGGGCCCTACAGCAAATGGGCCTTAGGGAATAATATTCTAGGTGTTTCAAAGAGGGTATTGGGTTTGAGGAATTCTTTTGTGGGTGTTGTTTCGGGTAGAGGTGGTATAAGGTTTATTGGAATCGCCAAACTACCATTGCAATCTTTGCTGTATCAATCCCTGAGACCTTCAGAAGGGCTCCAAGCAAGGGATTTTAACAGGGGATTTTGGGTTGGAAGACAGCCTACCTATAGTATCCATTGTAGTTCCTTTGTTGGTTAACAGAATGTATATTTTAGGGTCCTAACCATAAAACTGGTCAACCAAAGCAAGGAGCTAATTACGATGGAGACTTTAGGTAGATTTTCGGTAGAATCCCAAAACACTGACCCAAAACCCTAAGACCGATGCTCAAACCCGAAACCCTGGCTAGGGTTCAGCACTGTTCGGCGCTCTTATCCTCGGACGGCACTCCGAGACATTTAGGAGGCCGACTCGCCAGATGCTTTCGGAAGCTGCTCTGTTTAGGGTTTAGGGTTTAGGCTCTTCACCCCAAAGCCTAGTAATCGCAACTGAAACATGCTACTGAATCGACAGGCTCCGCCCCTGCAACCTCACTCAAGAACCGCTCTTCGCAGGCGGAGCTCCCACCCCCTGGCTTGAGAACTCACGGCTTACACCCTACCTGTATCGAGCTCCTTGTTATGACTTCGCTAGATAAATCTTTAAGAGGTGTGAGAGTTAGGGTCCAGGTAGGGTTGATGTAGGGTCACTCCATCCGACTCATCGCACTCCCCTAAACCCTAAACCCTAATGCCTAAACCCTGAACCCTAAACCCCTTAGCCCTAAACTCCTAAACCCCGAACCCTAAACCCCCCCTGCCTCACAAGTCTCATGGCTGTAACGATGGGATCCTTGGCAAGGGCAGAGGATCAACTCTCGAAACCCCCGGTTGAGAGGATTTCTTGGGTTCGGGTTTAGGGTTTAGGGTCTAGGGTTTAGGGTTCAGGGTTTGGGGTGCAGGGGGGTAGTGTGGGTTTAGGGTTTGGGGCTTATCTGACCTCGTCATATCCCTATATACTCTTCTTCTTTGGTGGTGCAGGGCTTCTATTTCTATGTCGTGCTTTATTCCCCCTTATGTGGCTGAGGGAATTTAGGTGATTCAGGGCCTACATAGCTTGGGGCTCTTACAGCGAAGCCTAAGGCTCTTCAGCTGTCCGGCTCTCTGCCTGCAAGGCAACACAACAACCAGGAACGCTTGCGCACCTAGTAGAAGTTATACGTAGTTGCTGAGTTCAGAAGCTCAAAACTTGTACACTTTCCATTCTACAGGGTCATGTTGAACCACAAGTGTGAAGTGTTATCATTCAGCTACAAGGTATAGGAGCCTGGACGAGTACCCATGTTGTTATTCGTGAGGGCCTTTTTGCCTGTACTGTAGGCCAAAACCCCGTCCTAAACCCTAAACCCTAAACGCTAAACCCCTATGCTAACCAATAAGGCTCCTTTTACTGTCCTTGCCAGACCTGCGACGTTTGACTCGGTCTGAGACAAAACCCTGGACGAAGCCACTTTGGTGAGAATACGGGGTCGTCCCCCCATGGTGTGTGCATGTGCATAAAGCAAAGAAAACCTATCCGGGGATACCTATTCTAGTGGAAAAGAGAAGTATACATATATAGTGGTTTGTATGTATTCGTGGGAAATTACAGATAGGCAGGTAGATAGGTAGATAGATACGATAAAGATAGTTGGTCCTATGGTTGTTGTCTACGTGCCGCCGGCACTCGCCCTTTCTAACCACATGCTTCACCCAGAAAACTTGAGGCATCTTTTAAAATCTCAGGGTCGGGGGTGGGGGGGTCTGAGTTGGTTGATGAGTATGGGGTCGGTTATGCTATAGGTGTTTTGGGACTATCAAACGACACTGTCACTATCTGTCACTATTCATTCCGACCTCTATATTAATTACAAGGTGGCCTTAAAGCCACTGTAAGGGGAAACTGTAGCTACTCAACCTTTATATTCAGCATCCGGGCACTCTGGGGCCCCCACAAGCTGAGGGCAGCGTTTCAAGGGGTGGCGGTCCGGAAGGACTACGGAGAAGTAGACTAAAGAAAGTTCTTGGCAGCTGACAAGGCTCTAGGCTGTCGTGGCAAGTTTTGCTTCATGGGCACCCTGCTAGACGAGCGGCTGTTCCGTTCCTGCAGAGCCAGAGGTAAGCGGATAACGACGTTGGGTGAGTTTCGCAGGTCGATGTGTCGGCTGGAAAACACTACTGCTTCTAGCCGAATAGACACCATGAGCCCGCAGGGCTCATGTACCTATAGTATGTACTTTGGCCTCAAAGGTCGGCCTGTATATGTATATTTATATATATATACATATACATATACATATATATATATATATACATACACACACTTTGGGGGTCAAACTACATACTATATATGGGTACATGGACCCGGAGGGGAACCTAGATGCTGCAGGGTAGCAATACTGCACAAACGGCAGCTAACATCCGAGCTGAGGTTTTTGTTGTCCACAAGATACGCTGCGGCGCCGCATTCAAGAAGAGCCGAGCTGCCCAGCTCTAGCAGAAATGGCTTCCAAGATGCTGCTGCAACCAGTGCAGGTTGCAGGTTACAGTTGACTCCGGCATCGGATTGGTGATGTGATTGATGCTTCTGCCAGGCGAAAATCAACCGGAAGTTTTGTTCCTTATTGAAGACGAAAAAGGCTGAGTTGCTGAGCTTAGGGCATAGGCTCAAAGGACGACAGGTCTGTTCCTCAGTCCTGTGGGTCCTGGTCTGCTGCATGGACCTCTCTGCAGCTCTCTCCTCTTCCTCAGTCTGAGCAAAATAGTAGTACGGACAAAGCGCTCGAGGCCAGAAATGTAGGGGCCTTCATAGTTAGAATAAGGTTTTGGGATGCTTTAGGCTCCCTTCTAGCAGAAAGATACAGAGCCCTCGGGAATAGTATTGTTAACTAAACAGCCTATTGTGGCTTCCATAGTAGTGCCCAAAACCAGTTACCTAAATCCTAAACACTAAACCCCTAAACCCCTAACCCCTAGACCCTAAACCCTAAACCCTAAACCCTAAATCCTAAACCCTAAAACCCTAAAACCCCTAAACCCGAAACTCGAACTGGATATACTCAGGCTGATCTCCGTGCCATGTCTTCGCTGGCATTCTGCAGGGCTCGCTGCGCTCACTTCTTCCTTGGTAGAAGGGCTTTGGACTTAGAAACCACACGAAAACCCTTTTTGGGGGGTTTAAAGCCTCCACCCCCACCCCCCGCCTTTCATCCGCTTTTCCACACGCAAAATGAGAAAGAAGGGCTCTCATAAAGGGATCTATAAGGGTTACTAGATTACAATAATTGTGCTTAGGGGTCTTGGGCTCTAGGGTCTCGGGGGTTTCGGGTTTAGGGGCCGCTGTTTGTTAGGGGCCATGGGTGTAGGAGCCAATCAAACCCAAATCGCCTGCTGCGAAAGGCCTTGCAGTCATCTTCCACCCTAAACCCCAAACTCTAAACCTTAAACCTTTAACCCTAAACCCTAAACCTTAAAACCCTAAACCCTAAAAAAGAGAAGAAGCAGTTATGGCGACGCAACCCTAACCCTGAACCATCAGTCCCAAGACCCCACATTCCCAAACCCTGAAGCCAAAAACAACCCTAAGTCCCAAACCCACATACCCTAACCCTCAACCCCTATAAACCCCGATAAACCCGTATAAACCCTTATAACCTCCTAACATAGCGAGAGCTCCGTTCTGAACCCAAATGCAAAAGCCTCGAGACCCTCCAGAGCAACATGAAGGGTCTCATTGAGAATTCCTCGGAGGCGTTTTTTTAAGGCTTGGGATAAGGGTGTTGTTAAGGGCTCTATGACTCGGGCTCAGGGGTCGAGATACACTGGGGTTTAGACCCTAAACCCCTAAACCCCTAATTCCTAAACCCTAAACCCTACATCCTAAACCCCAAACCCTAAAACCCTAAAACCCTAACCCTAAAACCCTAAAACCCTAAAACCCTAAACCCTGGTATTCCGACCTGAATAGGACATGCATCCTTCAAGACGCAGCGCTACCACCCGACGCCTTCAGAAATCGACACATCCATTCCTCAGGGCCCCCTGCTTCGGCTTCGGGCTTTTTTGAAATAGGACTTACGGTTTAGGCTTTTAGGGTTTAGGGTTCAGGGTTTAGGGCTTAGGGTTCAGGGTTTAGGGCTTTAGGCTTTTGGGGTTCAGGGGGGGCTCACTCTTCGATAGCCTTCCGCGACTCTTCAGAACTATCTGGCGGTATAATTGCCCAGGTTTTCCTGAACCCTCAAGCCTAAACCCTGTACTAAACCCCTTAACCCAAAAGGGCCTAAATTGCTAAACCCGGCCACAACCCCAAAACCCACAACCTACAATCTACGGCCTAAACCGTAAAAGGCCTAAGCTCAATGCAGTTCAGCTGCTATATATAGGAGTGTACACGACATGGATGCCACTCTCAGAGTTTAGGGCTTAGAGCTTAAGGCCATACACTCGATGGGTGCAGGTTGCAACTAACCCTAGAGTAAGTGGAAACGAGCGTCTTTAAGGCCTAATTATATGCTATCTGGGTACATGGCGGCTAATTTCCCGAATTAAACCCTTAACCCTAAACCCTAAACCCTAAGCCCTAAACCCTAAACCCTAAACCCTAAACCCTAGACCCTAAACCCTAAACCGCAGGCCCAAAGCCGTGTTTCTGGCCGGGCTGCTTGATGCCGCGGCCGCGTCCCCTACCACGGCCCCGGCCAGCCAAAGACTTGACCTGGCAGCTGCGAGGGAACATCCCGTTTATGAGACTATAGGCTTTTTTTTTATATATTATGTTATAATTACTATTTTTGTATCAATTATACCATTTATTAGACTATAGACTTTTATATATTATGTTATACTAATTTGCATCAATTATACCATTTTATACTATTCTATACTATATCATGCTATATAGTATGATAGGTTTAAGTTTTATACCCCCTGTATGTAATGGGTTTAAGGCTTAAGGTAGACCTTCCGACATCCCTTAATTCGGGAATATACCTTAAATCCTATTAGGGGTCCTATTGAAATTCAAGGTCTATTCCAAAAATGAGGGATACTATTGGAAGGTCTGGATATGTATGAGACGTAACAACTGGAATAGAGGTTGGGAGTAATCATAGTACGTGTATATATATATATATAGGTATGTATATAGGTATGTATGTATGTATGTATGTATGTATGTATGTATGTATGTATGTATATATGTATAGATAGATAGACAGATAGATAGATAGACAAATAGATAGATAGATAGATAGATAGATAGTTAGATGCTTGATAGATAGATGATAGATAGATAGTTACAAGGGGATAGTGGCTAGAATAGGGCTTTGGGGTATATTTTCGTGTAGTTATGCGAGGGCTACAATACGTTTACTATGGCAAATTTATGCAAACCTTTTGTTGGCAAGGAATGCTCTTTAACACCGAAGCTGCCTGAGAATCGCACCCTGGAGGTTCATGGGCCTTGTTTGCAGCCACAGTCAAGATGTGTGTAGCTCTCCGTTCCCACAGCCTTTAGTGAGATACTAAACTACTAGATAAGCATGCTGGCAACTACGCGTGAGCCTCTGCAGCCCTTCAACAACCCTGCAGAAGCCTTACGAAACACCTCTAGTCAGAGTTGAAGCCGCCCTGAACCAACACCCTGATGTCTAAAGGGGTTTAAGGTTTAGGGCCATAGGGTTCAGGGTTTTAAGCAACCTCTCCAGCCCTGCTCCCTTGGAAGTCCAGCCCGCCACCTTCGGCAAGCGCTTGGCATCATCCACGAGCAGGGTGTCGAGGGGAATGCTGTCCGGCAGGATGACGTACCTCTCAGGTTCTGGGGATTGCCCAGACCTTCCAACATCCACCAAGTAAGGAATATACCTCAAATCATATTCGGGATCCTGCTAAAATCCAAGTATATTCCGTAACTTTTGTCGCCCATGTGGCTTATACCCACGACAGGAGGTCTATGTTACCGGGGTAGCCGGTACATATTCCCGTGTCTCTTCACTTGTGGTAAGCCTGCAGCATTCACGGGCTGCCACTGTTTCCGGTATGCATCCGAGCCACCGCACGTTGTTGCCCCTGATCGTCAGGTGGTCCATCGACACGGGCGGCTTCCCCTTCACCGTGAACTTGATATTCTTCATGTGCACGTTCATGGACATGTCGACACCTCAATCGTTGCAGGGGGCATTGAAAAGTGGGCCACTGAGCCTTTGCAAGTACCACTTACTCGAGATTGAATCTCACGGACTTGCTTGAGTGTTCCACAATCACGCACTCTTCGAGTTTTTGGGAATCCCAAGACACAACGAGATCCAGAATCAAAGCCCAAGATGATGGATGCCCTAACATCCCGGACTGAGGCGGTGGCCGGTAATTGTCCCCTGCCGCAACACACGCATGCACGGAAACCCACACACACACACACGCACACACACACACACACACACACATGAGATCTTCATCCGATCATTCTGAGCGTAAAGACCACGGCCAAGAATATCGTACTGCCTGCACAACAGTGCTGTTCTTGAGCTCGACCACCACGCTCTCGTTGCTCAGCTTCATCAAGAACCTTGCAGCTCATGTCTTTCGTTTGAAGTCTCTGCGCTTCTGGGCTTATGGGCGAAGAATTGGACAGCGCGTGCTTGTTGGGGGCATACCGCTAAAAAATAGGGACTGTAAACCCGTAAAACCGAAACCGCTAAGCCTCAAACTCCTAAACCCTAAACTCCAAACCCTTAAACTCCTAAACACTAGGGCCTCTAGAGGAAGACTCGGAATAGCTGCTGGCTGTTGCAAACTGTCTAGCCTCCTACTGTAAATGAACCTACATGCCCAATTCTGCTTGATTATACATCTCTTCTTCAGGAACCATATAATATAATACAATATAATATGCTATATTATATTAAACAGTAACATACACATGTACATATATATCTATACACATGTATCTATATATATATATATGTATACACACACACATACATGCGCACATATAACAAATCTGGGTGTGTATGTGTGTGTGTATATATATATATATCAGAAGGACCGAAGCTTCAATCCTCGACTCCCAAAGCCGAAATGCGAACTCAGAGGCTTCTCGGCATATAACCCCTTCCTGTAACCCCAAACCCTACAAAATAGTAGGTAATGACCCCTTAATCATAGGGTCTAACCCTCAAAACGGTAGGTTTTTGGATTCACAGGTTCACCCTCAACCCTCAACCCTATACCCTCAACCCCCCCCTTGTTTTGAGACGCGCTGAGAAGGGTTGGGGCCTCACAAGCCTCATCCTTGGAATGAAAACGGAGACCTCGGCAGATGGTCGAGAAAAGAGGAACCCAGCTTGGGGGGTTTGGGGCGTCAGGGTTTAGGGCTTAGGGTTTGGGGTTTGGAGCACCTTGGTGGCTTTTTGGGTCGTCAGGCTCTGGAGTAGGAATTGTCAGGACCGCATGGCCGGGCAACCCGCCATCCAAGCCGATAAAACTGCGTCTTCGCTCGAGGTTTCAGGTCTATAGGATTTAGGGAGTAGACCTGTAGCAGGCTTCCTTACTAGGACTTCTATATATATATATATACATACACACATATATATATATATCATATATCATATATCCTTCCTTAAAGTGGTAGGTCTTTTGGGCCCTAAACCCTAAACTCTAAACCACAAGCCCCAAAACTCTAAACTCGAAAACCCTGAGCTTGAGCCCCAAGCCCTAACCCGAAACTCCTCTAGACTCTAAGCCCCAACCTCGAAACAGGTTGCAAAGCTCAACAAGTCAGGGCTTCTCGATTTGTGACTCAGGGCAGGGCAGTGGCAGGCCGTTGGCATTTACTGGGCTCTTGTTCGGCGATTTTATTTAAGTTGCCACAATAAAGAAACCATATTATTTACTGTAGATATCCATTATGATAACTTAAACAAAGTCCCTTAGCAAGAGCCCAGTTTAGTCGGCGGGGAGGACCCGACGCACCGATAAGCAGCCTCCAGCATCGACAAAAAAACCTCTAGCCAGGCTCTCCCTGTGGCCGATCCTAAACCTCTAAACCCCCCAAACCCTCACCTTCCGGCGGCACTCAGAGCGGTGCCAGGCAAAACTTGCAGCGCCTCTGGCACGAGACGCTGGGTTGCGGGCCGTACTAACATAGTTGTAAGGGTCAAGTTGCACAAGACAGCCTACTTCGAAACCCACGGTCTTTTTTGTAGTGAAAGGGCTCCATTGAGCGCCATGGTACCCAAAAGTTCAGATTCCCTGAGCTTGCACCGCAGCCCCCCATCCCAATCCTATGCTGTAATCCCAACTACTCGTGGGGCCCTGACAATCCGAAGCCTGCGAAACCGGACTACTCGGCTGCCTAAGCTCTTAGTATGCAACTTGCCCTGTGTTCCTAGGGACCTGATCATTGGGTTCTTAAGGGGTCTAGAGCCCTAACTGCCCTATCTATAAGGGGTTGATTCAAGCCTAAGCTACCATGATATTTACCATAGATTCCATAGATGCCCATTCTGGCAACTTGAACTAAGCCCCCCTAACAAGAACCCAGTCAGGGGGCTTCTTCTTCAGGGGTCTCCGGGCCGGTGAGGTCGGATACAAGTTCCAAGCTTGGAAAGTAGCGGGGGGGGGGGTTATACACATTAAGGAATATACCTTAAATCATCTTATGAAGGCCCCTATAATTTAAGGTATATTCCTTAATATAGGGGTACTGGGTTCTCTGGGTACTGGTGGTGTGAAAGTTAAGGCTATGAAGGGCTGGTAGTAGAAGCCAGAAAGTTGGAACACCAAAAGCATGCCCTTAGAAGGTAAAGTACAATTATATCGGGGGATCCCAGCACTATTCATCCTAAATCCATGCTCCAACTTCGTGGGATTCACCGTAACGCCTAAACTCAAAGAGCCCCGAAACAGTGGGGAGAGAACCAGCTCTTCGGTGATGTAGATTGTTTCTTAGTTGTCCGTCTCCTGGACATGACAACAAAGTTACAATCCTCAGCTCGCAAGGGCGCTGACTCTCTCAGCCCCAAGTAGGTGGAAAACTCGCAGAACTGAAAGCAGCAAAACCCTAAAATTCAGAATATCTCAACCCAGCACTGAAAAGCCGGAATCTTCTGATTGTTCATGCGTAATCGGATACCCGAAACCTCACAACTCTAATACGAGGGTATGATAACTGTATCTACCTATTCTCGGTGCTGCTACCACAGTTTCTAAGCGATTGCGTGGTTTACAGCAGGGGACGTGGATTTGATATGTGTCATCAACGAGCGTGTAGATTGCATATCCCCACATCTACGATCTATCGATCTATATGTCCATACCTATCTATATCTGTATCTATACATATATCTATGTCGCACAGAATATACCATATACCTTGTGTGAACTACTTGTATCTGGTATAATGTACAGTCTTGTAACATATATATATATATATACAAACATCACTCTGTATCGATATACATAAATGTACACGCTACGAACGTGTATGTACGTATGTATGCTTATATGTATCTGTATGTGCTTATATGTATTTACTTTTATATATATATATATGTATGTCTGTCTGTGTCTGTCTGTGTCTGTCTGTGTCTGTCTGTGTCTGTCTGTGTCTGTCTGTGTCTGTCTGTCTGTCTGTCTGTCTGTATGTATGTATGTATGTATGTATGTGGGTATGGTTGTATGTATGTATGTATGCATGCATGCATGCATGCATGCATGCATGCATGCATGCATGCATGTATGTATGTGTGTATAAACATGGGCAGCTAACATAAGGGGGTTGCTCAATAGCCCCAAGAGTCCATGTACCCAAATAGTAGATACGTTGGCCTTACAGTAGTCCCTGTTTGGATACTTGGGCCCAAAGTATCTACTACTTGGGTACATGGACGGACCCTTAGGGTAGTCTAATTCGTAAAGCCGCTATGCTAGGTTCACGTGCCCTGAATAATGAGGGTACCTGTTTCCTGTCATTCAACTTTTATACGGGGACGCTGAAGAAAGCAAAAGCTGACTACTTGCAAGCCCTAAACCCCAAATCCTAAACTCTATACCTAAACCTTAAAACCCGAACCGTGAGCGAATATCCTAGGCCTTAAAACAAACTAGCCCATTAGCCTTATGTAGTAGGGTCTTCGGGCCGCAAAGCCTTAGGATATGAGTAGAGCCTTGGTCAAGGGTTTCCCTACGCATGCTGCCTCGACTTTCGTGCTGCAAAGGTTTGTGCATTCCACCTCGCGGCCCGAGGAGAAGTTGAAGTATGTCTTCAAAACGAGGCAGTAAGAACCTTTTTGACGAAAGCTCCGTAATTTTGTGGTTTCGGCGAGTTTGGCTTGATGTAAAACTATTGCATTCTATTTTTGCGCTCTACTGAGGCAGCACGCAAAAATCTTTGTAGCACGCTGCGCCAGGCAGCATACGCAGGCGAACCCTTGACTTGGAGGCAAGGGGAGGTGGTTGAAACCTAAACCCTACAGTAAACACTAAAACTCTATACCCGAAGCCCTAAAACTCTGAATCCCATCCCTAAAGCCTTAAACAAGGGTAAAGCTTGGTGGCCGATCACCTGGCTTGGCCGTTTAAAGACCCTGAACAACATGCGTGAGCAAGATCCTTAGGCCCAATAAGGGAAAATATAACATGTCCCAAAGGCCTACCTGGTCAACCCTTAAACCCTAAACCCTGAACCCCTAAACCCTAAACCCCTGAACCCTAAACCTAGTCACCCGCCTTGTACCCTGTGGTGAGGCTTCGCCTGTGGGAGCCCGCGTGCTGTTGGAGCCAAACGTCACAGGAGACACAAAGGGGCTGCAGATGGGTTAGGGTCCCTTTTAGGGAGTCCGTCAAGGGATCTATCAGGCTTTCTATAAAGGTACTATAGGGGTTCTATATGGGTAGTTCTCTAAATTAGGGTCCCTTTTTAGGTTCCAAGAGAGTACGGCACCCTTATAAATTTGAGAACCCTTTCTGGTACCCTAATTTAGAGAACTCCCCGGACTGCATTTAGAGACTTACACAGGGTTTAGAATGTTAGGCTTTGGGCCTTAAGCTTTGGGTTTTGGGCTTTAGGGTTGGGGTGGGTTTTAGGCTGTGGGTGTTTAAGGGCTTAGGGCTTGTAGCTGTAGAATTATTAAGGGCTCGCCCAAGGCCCTAGGGTTTCAGGGTTCTGTAGAGGCGAGAACGAGGTTGTAGATGCAGTTGAATAGTGTAGCTGCCAAAATATGGGTAGTTCTCTATATTAGGGGATCACTTTATTGCAGACCCAAAGAGGGAGCCTAGTTTAGAGAGCTAGCCATGCGGTTGAAAGGTGTAGCTACAATGAATGAACCTGGCACCCTGCTTTCTCCCATGACGGGCCTCTGCACGACACCGCTGAAGACTGGTGACTACAAGGGTTTAGGGTTTTATTGGGGGTTTAGGATGGAAACAGCTAGAGCTTCAGGCTACAAAGGCTTGTAACAGCAAGGAGGCTCACAAGCAAGGATGTGCGGGCTAGCCGCGGGGCTTTGGATGTCGCTGCAAACTCCCCGGATGCCTGCACCAGCTTCTAGACCTCATAGTTCCCATGTAGCACTTAGAATGCACCCAGAAACCCAATTCTGCTTGGTAAGGTCCCAACATCGGCCCTGAAACTCTCCCTTTTCCAAGCTTGTCAGACTGTCTGCGTGGTCGCTGTGCGACCAACACAGGTGAGACGGCATGCTTTTGGCAACGCCTCCCGAGTCCTAGGTGGGCCTTGGGCGGGGGGGGGGGGGGGGGTCGGGCTTCTGCAGCTTACCTAAAAGCCAGAACTTTCAACTCTATCAACCGTACAGCACCTGAACCTACTACTTCTGTAAGCTGTATTCCTGGCTGTATTGCTCGGCAGTGAACCAGAGTATATTGTATAGAGTCCCTGAAACCTTGAGACCTATACACGCATACCCCCAGCATGACCCAAGACCCTGAGAAGCTATGAAGTGCGCAGAGGTCCGGAGGGGGGCCTTGGGCCATCTTCACCCCCCGGTGTTCGACACTCCTGAACTACAGAGACTCCTCAGCCCAGAGAACCCAAAGACCCCTTGATTAAGGAATCTACCTGAAATTATGGGGGCCCTTAAACATGATGCATCAAGGTATATCTTCCTTAGTTAAGGTCCATACTGGGGTTCTCTGGGAGAATGCCTACGCCCGTATTTCTGAGGTTCAAGATTCATGAAGGGGTTTCGGGTGTAGGGACTCTGGGTTCTAAGGTTTTAGGAGCTTTTTGGAATTTTTTCTACTACTTCGAATCCGGTATTTAGGATTTTGATGACCCCGGAACTCTTTGGGTTGTACCGTTCTGGGGGGTGGTGCAACCGCAGGGCACTGAGCCTAAAACGCTTTGGGGGCTGTACTGGGCCCTAGACCCCTAAACCTGAGAGAGCTCGAGGAGCCTCTGGGCGCTTCATCCTTCTTCCTCTTCCTCGGCGCCCGCCGCCGCCGCCTCTCGCTCAGTGATAGCGTCCGAACCTTTAAGCCTAAAGCACTGCATCGGGCGTCCCAGACAAAGGAAACAGGTCTAGTGAAGAGTGTAGGGTAAACGAGCATCATGACATGTTCAAAGGATCAGGCAACCCTGGACCCGAACTCTTGAATCGACCTGTTATGCACTCGTATCGCGCAAACCCTAATTAAAATGATTAAGTCCCAAACCTACACACGCGAAACCAACAACAAACCCGAAACCCCGCTCAACACCCAATAAACACTATAAGCTAAAGCCCAAGCCCTAAACCGACCCCAAACCTAGAAGCACAGGATCAGCTTCTTCGATGGCGTTTTAGGGTGCGGCCTGCGAGATGGCTACCACCAAAGTAACTGATAGCGGGTGAATGAATAGAAATACGAACCTCCGCTACGGTGGCCCGAGGGCTGGATACTTCTTAGCCAGAAATTATCATTATTGTCGTCCTTCGCTCTTCTTCTTATTGTAATTATTCTTCTTCTTACTCTTATGACTAATGCTATTGCTACTATGACCTTATAAGAGGGCTTCCAAGAACGCGGGGTCTCTTGATTCGCGCCCCTCTTGAGAAGGAGATCCTCATTTCTTCAGACTCCCACAGGTTTAGGGCTAAGGGCTTAA